TTTTTGTTTGGTTTTTTTTATGGGGACGACAGATGAGGCAATTCCTGACTACTCTGGTCATCAGACAACACAGTGCTTTACAAGTGGCAGAGCCTCTACCCACTTTGCAGTGATCATGGTGGTGCTCCAGAGACCTCCACATTATAGCTGAGATGTGGATTCCTGTGTAACAATTATTTTCTCGTGCACAAGTACAGCATAAGTTAAATGAAGGTGCTTTCTGGGAAAATGTTAAGTACTGAATTCCTGAACTGCTAGCAGAACAAGGAAGTGATTGTTCTTTACTTCTTCAGTCATCAGGATTTTGCTGACAATTATTTTGGCATGCGTAGCACATACATACACAATGACTGACTATACATTTATGGAACCTTCTGAAAAAATGCGGATTGTGCTGTTGTGTGATTCTGCAGCCCTATCTGATGCCTACTGTGACAGAAAATAAGGTCTAATAGAGTAAGTTTAGTTTTAGTTTCATAGCACACTCTCAGAACTTTTACTGGCAGCAGATACAGTGATAACCATTTTCAAGTTGACTCCTTTGATATCTTCCATCAGATCTGGGAAAGGAGTCTGTTCCCAACAGATATTTGGGGCTTCTTGGCTGAAGCATCTTCCCAATCTTTTGACAAATCCAATGTCTCAACACTGAATCTAACACCCACCACTCCTAAAATGCTGTCAAAGCAAGTGGCTTTCTTTAGAAATGCCCTTTTTCCAAGTTTGGGATGCTGCAAATTCCTCTTCAGATGCATTAAGTCTAGCTTGTGGGAGGATCTGATGATGTCCTCTCTTTTTCTCTTCATCTCTAGCATATCAGTTGTTCCTGCCCTGTAGCCTTGGTGGCTGATCCCCTCTGCAAACTCCCCTCTGGCTGCCTATGGGTATTAACAAGACTGGAGAGTGAGTTTCTGTGCTCGTGCTGGTCCTGGAAGCTGCCACAAGCAAAGGCTGGAAAGTCAAGTCATGCCACCGGATCCCGTGGTGATCAGTGAGTAACAAATATTATTGCATCTGCTGGCTAAGAGTGACAGTTTTGTGTGACAGACAGCAAGTATTCTGATTGTGCTTGCTTTGCAGGTTTTCTCCCTGCAAGAGGAGAGTAGGTGTGTAAAGTGGTCTCTGAAAAAATAAAGGCTACTCCTTCCCTTAGGGAGAAATTGAATCTGGCCAAGCGAGAGAGATATTTGGGTACTGGGGTAAACCAGAGGAAGCAGCAGCAAAGCAGCAGTTTGTAGCACAGTGGGGAAATGAAAGGCTGCTGAGCAAAGCTGTGAGCACACTCCAAGCTCTGCTTACGTAAGAGAAAATGTCTTAAGAGAGCTGAGTGAGCATAGCTGCAACCCACCAAAAACCCCTAAAAGACAGCTTGAGAGCAATGGTTTGCTTTTCTAGGACACAATGGATAGGGATTTGTTTATAAACCTCATAAATTATTCCTCTGTCCTCTGTGACTCCTAGAACACTTGTCATCGTCTGATCTAAAAAGACAACAAGTCAGGTTTTTGGTGTAGGGAAGACTAAATTTGAACACCTTCTAGGGTGTCTTTGAGGAACTCCCTGTGAAAGAAAAGGTCAACAGATTCGTATAAAAGCTATTTCTAGTCTGGAATTCCATCACACAATCTGGTGATTTTCATAAAATTAATTAGCAATCTGACCGGATTGATGTTTTGTTCTCCTGCTACCAAAAGTTTTGGAAAATTATGGGACTAAATCATCAGCTCACCATAAAGAAAAAGTACTTTTCCATCCTCTGTGCCTGGTCTCTGCAGTTCTGCTCTGAGGGCCTTGATCTTTGCACAGCAGTTGACACCTAATGATCTCCTCAATCATGTATTATACACCTCAAACACTGAGAACCAGCCTCCTTCTTCTCATTTTGCAATATTTTGGGGTGGGTTATGCTTTCCTCGGTCCTGAGGGGTAGAGGTCTACTGGCAAGTGGCAAGTGCTTGGAGAAGTGGTCACATTAAGTATGTGAACCTTTCCTTGTATGGCTTCTCTCCTCTCCATCTCTGTTCCACTGGCATCTCTTGGGGCACAAACGGTCTTGCACTGTGAGAAAGAACCACAGTAAAGGGAAAATAGGTACTTCCCACAGGGGGCAAAAAAATACAATATTACAAATACACAGCTGAAGTTGAAAAATGTTAAACAAATCACTTTGAAACTCTTCAGTGGATTGGTAGCTGTTCTAATCAGCCTTCTGCATCATGGAATCTTCCCCTACATATTATTCATTAAACAAAGGTATTTATTAGAGCAGCGTGTGGCATAGATAACATCTCTAGTGCAGAGGAAAGAAGCTCTAAGGAGTCTTTGGAACACACCTTGCTTTTGTGTGAATGGCAGGTACAACACATGCCCGAGGCCTCGGTGCAGGATTCCCACCATGGGAGCAGGTAGGAGCCAGCAGATGCCCTGCAGTTGCTCCCACCTACCTCACTGATCTCTGGCTGTTGCTCTTGGGATGCTTTTCTGCCTCATTTTTCTTGGATGCTCCATGCAGTGAACTCCCAGCTGCTCCTCGAGGGCAGCTTTTCAAATCAGTACCTGTCACTTCTTTCCTGAATGTCTGTGATTTGCAGGGGTCCACCCAAAGGTACAAACACAAAAGCCATCCTCCTGGGAGGTGGGTTTTCATTCAGCATGCAGGAGGCTGCAGAGTCAGTCACTTGGAAGATGTTTCAATTGCAAAGCTAAAAGGAGGTTGGAAAACCCAGATTAGATAAGAAGAGGAAGGTTATACTTGTAATTGTGTATGTTTTGGCTGCTGGATAATGGCCATGTTATGGAGCAAAAGCCTTCCCCAATGAAATCAAATTACGCAGGCAGCATTTCTGATGACACACAGGCCTTTCCTTCAGTTATTTGGATAGGCTGTTCATTTTTATGTACCGATAAGCATTTTTGTCTTTTAAATTTCTTTGAACTTCTCAGGATATCAGCACTAAAGAATGCCCTATTAACTGTACCTTGCTCCACCATCAAGGATGTTTCTCTCACAGAGCTGTTCTTTGCAAATGTCCTGATGTTTTGACCAGAGGCTGAGTTGTTCATGATGCCAAAGTTGTCCTTTAGGCAGGAATGCTATATTCCTATCTATCTATGTACTTATCTGCATGGATATGACTTGGCCTTCTGAAAATATAAAGCCTACACACTTTGGATCTTGAAGGAATATTAAGCTACCTACTGATGTTTGGTTTTTTAAATCTTCCCAAGTCTTCAGCTCCTTCCTGAAGGAAGTAATGTTCATGAACAGATGGAATTTTCTGTGCCTTCCATTATTGCTCCTCTCCCTCACAGTGGGTTGTTCCAAGGTGTCTGTGTTGATGCCTCACTACTTTATGGAGCCATTAGATGCCAGCAGCTTTAGCTCAAAGAACTTCTAACCTTCAAATGTATAAGATTTATATTTGCTGTTGGAGAAAGGTCAGCTACAGGTGCTGCTGCAAACAAGTGTTAGCCAAAGGATAAATGAGGTAGAACAGATCTGAACAGTTCTGGGCAGTCAGTTATTATGGGAGCAATATGTCTGGATACGTTGAGAGATCAAACACTGGCTTTTTTAATTTGGAAAAAGTAGTGTCTGTTCTAAGACAAATATATGGGATATATTGTTGAAGTCTTACAGAAAGACTTCAACAGTATATCCCATATACTTTTATTTTCAACTGTAGATCTTTTATGGTAATTTTTTTGAAAGAATTGTTTTAACCAACAGCAAATATGTAAGGTTTTATTATATCATTGCTTTTAGTCTAGTATCAGAGTAATTATGTTATTTATTAAGGTAATTTTGGTGAATGGATTTTAAAGAAGATATTATGTTTGCCTACACCATTACCAGTGCACTGCTATTAGTATTTAAAATCTATTATATAGGGCTACTGTAGGTTTGTTCTTCAGGGTATTAAAAACAGTACTTAAAAAAGAAAACAGATTTCCTTAAGGAAGAGCCTCAGCAGCAAATAAAAAAATTGTTCAAAAAAAAAATCAAAAATATAAAATGAAAAATATTAAAGTATTTTTGTAGAAAGTTTAAATCCCTGCAAGTGATGAATGTGGGCTCTTTAGCCGAAGAGACCACTAGCACTTAAACTTTTAATGATATGAGATGTAAGAATCCCTTTTTGTAATCAGGGAAATGTAGCCAACACTGGCATGAAATGTGGCAACCCCTTAGTAGCAAGGCCAAGAGCAGGCCAAATTTATTAATCACCTAAAATCTTAGAAAGATGCCCAGAGAAATCCTATGAGCAATTCCAAACCTGGACCTGATTTGGAAGGGCAAGAGCATGACAGCAAAAAACTACCTGTATCAGTTTGTGCAGCAGAGTACTGCAGAAACAGGTTTTACCTCCTGCAAGACTTCGAAATTCAAATTATTATCTTTGGTTTGGTTTGATTTGGTTTATTCTGTTGCTGTTTGGTCGATTGGTTGGTTGGTTTTGGTTTCTTTGTTTGTTTTTATTAGAGCTGAGCTGCTCTGGTGTCCTTGCTGGCAGAGTCCCAGTACCTGCTGACCAGGGAGAGGCAGGGACAGTGTGGAACACGAGGGAGGTTTGGGAAATGAAAGGACCAGGGGGCAGAGGTGTGTGCAGCCCTCCTGCAGGGTGAGGAACATTGTCCCTCTCTCCACAGGCCCTGCCAGTATGGGTGGGAATGGGGTGAGAGGGCAGGAATAGCTCCTTTGGTAGATTGCTTTTGCTAGTGGCTCTTGTGCCAGGGACTCACAGGAATCACTGTGCAGTTTTCTCATATCCAACAGGAAGGTCACGGGGAAAGAGCCTGTTTCTTTTCCCTGTTCACAGTGAACAATTCACACCAAAATTAATAGTTGCAAAGAAAAAACAGATGGATCCTCCCTCAAGCAGCCAATCACTGTTGTAGTTTTGTTCCTACAGATGCTGTGTGACACCTGCCTGTAAATCCAGCAGTTGAATCAAAGCAGGACTTTGGGTCCCTGGCATTCTGAACAAGCATTTTCAGCCCTCAGGTGCATTGCATATTCTCAAGGCAGCCTCACTGACCAGGATCAAAAATTTCAGGTCTTCCTGAAGAATACTTCACTCAAAAATTACCCAATACCGGTTAGTTTAGACAAGCTCGCACACAGGAGGATCTCTCTCCCCACTGTGGTTCACAGTCATCTCCTGTCTGGGATGGTGAGTTTGTGGCTCTGGGCCCCTCCCAGACTTCACCGAATGGGTGAAGCAGAGATGTGCAGAAAGAGCAGAGACACCAACCAGCATCTCTGCAGGGTACTACAGTGCTGTTACAAGTGGCTTTGCTCAGGCTGACACTGCACTGAATTGCATCATCAAAGATGCTGGGTTTTGAAATGTCACCTGAACTGTAGTTTTCCTTTCTTGCTGGCTGTCAAGTTGAAACTTTTGGTTTATTTCATATATCCTCCAATGTTGGCTAGAACAACTCCAAAACAAAAAGTGGTTCTAATGTTCAAACCTCTTTGTGCTGAAGCCGTGGTGCAGCCACATCTACTGCTGTACTTATATTTAACTTTAGCAGGACACCTGGAGATAACTTGACACTGGGAAGTTCTTGAACCTCTGAGAAGCAATAGGAGATGCAATATAGGATGTCTCAGACACATCCGTGGTATATACTACATACCATGGATTTGCCACATACCCTTCAGCAGCTCGTACCACCTCTTTTATTGTAAGTAACCTTCATTTTGATGCTTTAGCTATTCATTCGTTTTCCTTCAGTTTTATGTTTTAGCTATTGCAGCTATTTTGTAAAATAGTTATCAGCATCTCAGCTAGATGCTGTGACAGAGCCAATTAATTAACATTAATGAAGCATTTGGTATTCTTGGATAAAAGACACTATAGAAAAACAAATTATTATTCCTTTGCAAATCAAAATTCCACTCTATTCCTAAATAATTGTATTATCTTTGACTGATAGCAAAAACCAAGACAGAGTTACTTGAAGGCATCCTTAATCAGAGATTTG